ATGGTAATACCCGCTCATATGACTGCTGCGGTCTGTGCCATGACTCTGTGTTTATCATATTTTAAAGTGTTTGACAGAATCTACTCGGATTGCTTAAGATGCTCTTTAAAGAGACATTGCATACCAAAAAAAGAAACATTTAATTCCTCTAAACATGCTCTTTTCTGTGTGTTTCATTTCAAATTTGTTAAAAGTACTAGATCACATGTAAACTTTAGTGAAGCTTCCAAGTATATTTACTCTATTTAAAGTAGCTGGATGTAAAAAGATATTAAACACATTGGTCACAATTTATTTTAATCTACAATTTAGGCTATTAACAAGCCATTAACTAAGACTTTTAGCTCAGTAAGCTATTAATTAGCTGTTAATAAGGGTAGAACTATAAACACCTATATGTCGCCATAGCGGCAGATTCAAAACTCTAATGGCAGACGGCTGCTTCTCACCCAGGGCTGTCTATGCTAATGAGGGAGAGATAATCACCAATGGGTGGGGGCTTTCCCCCTCTGATGACACGTACAAAAAGAGCATAGATATTTACATTAGATGTCGCCTACTCTGTTGTTGTCCTTTGAAAGGAATGCATCAATAGGACCGACATTTTTGTACGCTCCTTTGAAATGAATGTGGGACCAAGGTGCAGTGGAGGACTGTGAAAACCGCAGCTATAGATATATAAACATATATACATTTATACAACAGTTCTGTCTGGTCCTCGAATCCGATTGGCTGATAGCCGTGATATATTTAAGTACTCCACCCACATACAGCCAGCAAAAAGCAGACACTACATATCTAAAGTTTAAAAGATGCTTGCTCAGCTGTTCAGCTGTCAGCTTATAATTTGAATCTAAGGCGGAAGAAAGTAGTTCCTCATACAAAAGGGTTTTTGAGACTCTCCATGTTTGATTTTGTTTTTATATACACAATTATGCCATCAAACTGTTGTATAAATGCAATATCACACTCGTAGCAGTGCGATATGGCGGTATTTCGCCATTGGTGGGGGCACTAAGGCATTCGGCCTGCGGCCTCATGCCAACGCAAGCCTCCCACCAGTGCCAATATACAGCCATATCGCACTGCTACTCGTCTAGTCAGCTGCAGCTTGTCTATTGGAAAAGTCTTTCTCAATGGCTCTTTGGACTGAAATGCAGGACTTCCTTTTTACTATATTTAATATTGTGGCTTCACCCAATCGTTTTTCCCCCAGCTCCTGCTTTAAAGTCTGTATAATGGCGCTCCAAGTTGAATGTTCCACTTGTAAGCTCAGGGCAGAAAGTTCAACCCTGACATTGAGACAAATGTCATTGCATTTCATTTCGGACCAATGGGAGTAGCTGGGGAACTGCATGAATTGTGTGTGTGTGTGATATACAATAAACAGACTATAAGAATCGTGTGTATGATTCAAGGGTTTTGTTCAATCAATAAGTACTGGATGTGTTAAACATTATAAGTGACACTGACTGAAGCTTGTTTTGAATAGTAAAAAAAATGCAATATGCTGCTTATGGGACAGCCTGAGCATGTAATGGCTGACCACAAAATGTCACCATCTTATAGTGGGATTGAAATTTGATGGCATCAACAAAACTGAGAGCATTTAAAAGGTGTCTGCATCTCTAGTTTAAGACATTTTTACAGGTGATAGGGACTGCTTGTTGATTAAAAAGCAATTTGTGCTCATCAGAAATGTGTATATCTTGAAAGTATGTTTTGGGCTTTAGTTGATATCACTTCTGCAATTTCAACCTCAAGTGGTTCCAATTTTTTTTTATTTCTTTTGAACACAACTGAAAACATTTTGAAGGATGATGGAAACCACTGATGTCCATAGTAGAAAAAAAAACTACAATAGTCAATGACAACCAGTTATTCAACATTCTGTGTTTACTATAGGCAGGTATTACTGTTGCGTGCATTGTAATCCACACATGAGTTGGGTTGGCTATCGTTTGGGGTTATTTTGATGCTGGTGCTAAATCGATACTTTAAAAAAGATACGCAAAACGGTGCCTGAACCTAGCCACAAAATTATCTGACAAAAATTAAAAAAATATTTCATTATATATTTGAATTGCATTAATATATTTCTTTTGATCATTTGTTTGTTAGCATGAATGCAAGATCAGCATTATACTATTAACTTTACGTTAGCTTGCTACTAACCATTTGAACCTTGTTTCAAACTGGAAGAACGAATTTGCTGGAAATAACGCAAAAACTACCAATTTTCACTTTTTTTGTGAAATATATGTGTCCACTATTAAGACACATATATTTCACAAAAAAAAAAAAAAAGTGAAAATTGGTTGTTTTTGCGTCTCCAAAAAATGTGCTTTGGGGTTTCATGACCCTTTATAGTGACATTTAAGTGCTTAACTAAGTTAATTAGGCTAACTAGGCAAGTTAGGGTAATTAGGCTAATCATTATATAACAGTGGTGTGTTCTTTAGACAATCAAAAATAAATATTGCTTAAGGTAGCTAAAAATGTTGACCTTAAAATGGTTTTAAAAAATTTAAAACTGCTTTTATTCTAGCCGAAATAAAACAAATAAGACTTTCCCCAGAAGAAAAAAATATTATAGGAAATACTGTGAGAATTCCCTTACTCTGTTTAAGGTTATTGGGAAAACATTTGAAAAAGAAAAAGAAATCATAGGAAGGCGAATGATTTTGACTTTAACTGTAGGTGTGAAACCACTTGTGGGTGAGTACATTTTCATTTCCGGGTGCACCGTTCTTTAAAGCTAAGATACTAAAATGTAATGCTCTCTATTCGATCTCACCATTTTCTCACAGGAAACAACTTAGGGTTTTAAGTTACTTTTGTTTCCTCCTGGTTATTTGTAAGGGAGAAGTTTTAAGGCCTTAATATAGAGTGTGAGCGTTCACACGTACACGAGGCCTTTTCCTTCCTCTGGCTCAGTCCATCGATTGAGTTGCTCTCTGGTCTTGAGACGTGCCTTCATCTCCTCACCCGCTCTCTGGTTAATTATTGAACATGCCAGCTCAGGTTACCATATAAGGCTGACGGCTGGCTTTACAGGGCAACACACATTTGAGTTAGTCTGAAAGTAAACCAATGACTATGTTTGTTTACATGGTCATCAGTAATCGAATAATTTGCCTTAACCTGAATAAGACAATAATATGATTAAGGTGTTTATGTGAGTTGCTTTTTGAATGTACATTTCATGATCCTGCTATCCAGATCCCCTAGTTTTTTTTTTTTTTTTTTTTAGCGATTTAATATTTAATTTATTATTTAATACTACTGATTTTGTGGGGGTAATTCCCAGAAATATGCGGACAATTTTGCGATTAAAAATATATATAAATATTTTAAAAATCTTGTTAACTACAGGGAAAGAGTTAAGTGAAATCATTTTTAGATTTGACGCACATCATAATACCAGCTATACATGTAAAGCAGAAATAATCTCCTTCAATTTGGTCACGTCCAGCATCCCCCATGAATTGATTTCCATCTGTTTGTTCCATTGCTCCTTTTGTTAGATGTTTGCTCACACTTTCTTTTGCAGTCTGAAGCAAGTCAAATGCACAAAACGCCTAATTTGTAACCCAGGATATCACATGTGCTGCAATGTCATGTAAAACATGTAATTGCAAACTGAAATAAATACAATTTGATATATATGGTTTGGAATTGGATGTTTTATGAGATTATTTATATTGTTTGTGATTATTTTGCTTTTAATTAAGAAATTTGCAGGATCGCAAAAATGTGTGACTTTTTTTTGATTTTGCGTTGGGTCGTCGGTTACAGCACATAGATTGATTAACATCATTGCGTCATGATTCAACACTAGTTTTCTCCGGCGTTTCACGCCACAACTTTTGTTTTTAATTTTGGACATTTAACTGCAGTTCGTTTCTCACACTGTGGGCTCCATTTTAACGAACAAAGTACAAAGTCTGAAGGCACAAAAGCATTAAGGGTGTGTCCTTATCCACTTTTGCTATTTTAAGGACTAAAAAGCAAATATGCGATTTCGGACGCAGTTCAGGTGTGGCCGTGCGTCACTGCCCCCCTGCCTGGACAAAACAACTTCGTCTGCATTTATGTTAAGTAAAAGCCCATGCATGCAGAGACTGAGTGGCGATAATGAATAATTAATGTTATGGCAGCCCGTCGCTCCCAAAAACATTACAAGTTGATTAAAAGTATGGTAATAATAGTGTGGGTTAAGCTTACCAATTCCTTATCCAATTTTTCATGGCAGTTTTCATTTTAAGGCATTGTTTGTTCTCTATTTGTTTACTATTTTGCGCTCCACGTCTCTTTACTCTTGTCTCCATTTTGAACATGTGACTGTAACCGAGCAACGGATCAACCAAATGGTCAATGAAGAGGGAGGGGTGGTATAATTTTTTTATTCAATAAAAAACAAAATTATATATTTATATAAAATGCAGGATAAACATTATACAAAATAAATACATATTTTTGGTTAAAAATATGTATAATATTATGTATAATTTCAAAAATAGTTATGGCACAATGGCGCCCCCCCATGTGTGGCTCCCCTATGCGCCGCATATACTGCATACCCCCTTTTTGCGCCACTGAGTAGAACTAACATACTGTTTAGAGAAACTTAGCTATAACATATGTACTGCTATCCAATAAAGACAGTCAAACTGCCTTTGTTAGCATATGAGGCTATGCACCGGTGTGGGAGAAGCAGAGTGAAAATCATTCTAACTCTATAGGATGTGAAGGCAAATGTCTCTGTTTATACATATTGTCCATTTGTGGACGTATCAAAGTATTTTAGGTTCCTAAATTTTACAGGACATAGGAAGCAACGTTAAAACAGACTCTGATAATTGTAAACAGCACTGAAATCATCATGTTTTTTTTTTCTACAAATGTTTTGTATTGCCAGAAATATTGTTGTAACCCTAATGTGGATTATGTTTCACTCATGTGCCTCGTGTTAAAATGTAACTCTTTCTCTCTTTCAGTGACAGTTACATTGTGCGCGTCAAAGCGGTGGTCATGACCCGAGATGACTCCAGTGGTGGATGGCTGGCACAGGAAGGTGGGGGGCTCAGCAGGGTGGGCGTCTGTAAGGTGATGCCTGCTGAGCTGACCGGCCGCAGCGACTTCCTCATCCACGGCGAGCGGCTCAAAGACAAGCAGGTGTGCCACAAATATTCACAGTCTTCCTCTTTAGAGCTCTCTGGGACTGAGGTTTTCAACCTATGGGGCACCAACAGCTGTTAAGGAGGGCATGAAGCTGAGGCGTACAGTGGAGTAATTATTGATAGTGGAGCATGATTATGGTTAGCCCATTTAGGATTATGGTTAGAGGATGATTTCAGGAACCCAAAACTCACACTATCCATGTTTACACTTTTTTATTGTTTATCATTCTGATAAATTCTGGCATATTTTACTTAATGAGGTAAGATAGACAGTGTTGCATTATTAATTTAATTAATTAATTTCAGGTGTTGTTTATCATGTTTCCGTGACAACATTTGCATAAGAATTACTGCTTTCAAGTGAATATTGATAGTGATCTTGATTTCATTTCAATTATTTTTGAAGCCCTACTGGATGTATCTATATTTACAATGGTTGGGTAATTAAACTAAAATGCTGGGTAATAGATCACAATATTTTTTAATATGGTCTAATCCTGTGTTCACACCAGACGCAGCACATGTGGATAAATCACACTGTTCACGCAAATTCGTTCCAAAATAGACGCGGAGTTGCGTCAGGGGCAGGGCTTCTGTCTGCTCAGTGACTCTAGTTTTGTTGCTAAATGGCTAACATGGATTATATTGATAGAATAGCTGTGTTTATGTGCTTTAGGAAGGCTAAAAACAGCATAAATTTGTTTGCCGCTGTGTCTGAGTCCACTAGATCCTTTCAGAGGTGCACCCAGCTCTGTGAGTTCATCAACTCCTCCAGAAACTATACCTGGAAGATGGAGGCTTTCAGCTGTGCTTCAGACTGAGCCGAGCCCAAGTTGATGAACCGTTGTCTGGTGTCTACAAGAGGATTTCCCCTTGGGACACCAAAAACAGGCGCTACGTCCTAATCACGCCCCATACAAGAGAAAGCTTCTGATTGGTTAACGTGGCGTGAATGTCTGCTGAAGTTTAGATTTTCCAACTCGAGCGATTCACGCAGTAAGCACGTCAAATGCACAAAACGCTTAACTCCCACTGATTGAGTCACGTGAATCATGTCAGAGTCACGCATGCCAGAGTGCGTGTATGGTTACGTGTAGGCATTGGGATATATTACGGTTTCACAGTATCACGGTATTGTAATTACTGCTCTAAAATATATTCTTTTTAAATGTTTAGGTTAAAAAAAAACTATTTTTCCCCTTTGAAAACTATATATATATATATATGTATATATTTATTTATTTATTTTTTTTTTTTTTTTTGAAAGATTTCAAATATTTTGGAGCAGTAAACATGTCAGGCTAAATAATGAAAATAAAACAATCAACTTTTGCTGTCGTCATTAGTTTCAAAAACACAGATTTCTTTACAATTTAAAATGGCATCTATGGATATCTTTTCTGCTCTAGATAATGTTGTCCTAAAAAACAAAGAAAAAAGTTTTTAAAACTTTAAAATTACAGAGTATTTTGGTGGTTTTAAAACATTAACTTTTCCAAACCGTGGTATTCCTTAAAAGCGGTTATCGTCCCATGCCTAGTTACGTGATGTGTATTTTTAGCGGTGTAGTGTGGACGGGGAGCTTTTAAAAAACTGTAGATGAAACGCCAGACGTAGATCGTTTTCATTCTAAAACGTTTTAAAACTAAAATGTATTAGTGTAAACGGGGCCTTAGGCCTAGGGAATGCTATGATATTGCAGCCCAAACCATCACTATCCACCCCCATGCATCACTGTGGGCATGCTATAGTCTGGGTGGTACGCTTCTTTGAGGCTTCTCCACACCATAACTCACTTGGATGTGCAAAACACAGTGAAGGTGGACTCAATACAATACGTTTCACCAAATGTGCGCTACTGACACCATTGAAACTGCCGTTGAATACCACTAAATACCATGACGCTTGATGCATCACAAAGACTTGCTATCTTGGTCACAGAACAATTTGTTCACTTTTGAACTCTGATATGTCACCGATAATGTTGTGTACATTGCAATATTTTAAGCAAAACTCTGCTATTACTCTGCTAATTAAACCTTCACACTCTGCTCTTACTAGTGGAATGTGCAGTCAATGAAGATTGGCCACCAGGCTGGTCAAATTTAGCCATGAAACTGCAAAACTAAATTGGCTAGTGTTTCATTTTCATTGTCCAACCTCTGTATGATTCATTACAAAATATGTTAGTTGGTGGGGCGTGAGTAAAATTAAACATGTTGGGGGAGGAGGTGGGGTGTCCTAAAGGTTTAAAGGGGTGGTCCACAGTGCATTTTTAAGGCTTGGTTGTTTTCATGGTGTGCAAAGCAACGTGTGCTCATGCTTCATTTGTAGAAAATTAGGTTATTTTTCATATATCCTACTCTATATACAGCTACTCAGCTAACATGAAAACAACTGTCATATTCTCTAGTTCGTCTGAAGAGCCGCCCTCAAGAGGCTCTGATTGGTCAGCTAACATAATCTGCTGTGATTTGCAGATCGGCTCCACATCACCAGGAAGCGTCTCTGTTGTAACATTACAGTGCCTCTGGCCACACCACTTTACTGCACGGGGTGTATGTGCGTAACTTGAAGGGTTTATGACATCATTAACCTGGATGTATTTTTTTGTACGCGTCCAAGTTCATACGCTGTAGGCTTTGCTAAGCTAACTCTGTAAAAGCCAATGTCTCTCTTTGTATTAAACTTTGAGCATATTACATTCAGAGATGTTGTTTATGTTCACTAAGCTACATTACACTTCAACTAAAGTTTAAAATATGATATCATGGTGGACCACCTCTTTAAAACCCCTGCTCTCAAGCTGAGTTACAACCTGGGGAGTTTCGCATGCTGGCAGCTTCAGTCAAATGTAGGATGCGTTTGTGATTTGCGAGATGTTTCTCAGGCAGTGACCTCTGATTTGTCTCACTTGTTTTGGCTGGCAGGTGATTTTGGAATGTTTCGTGAGGAAAGACCTGATCTACACCAAGGCCACGCCCACATTTCACCACTGGAAGGTCGACAACAAAAAATGCGGCCTGACGTTCCAGAGCCCCGCCGATGCTCGTGCCTTTGACAGAGGAGTGCGGAAAGCCTTGGAGGACTTAACAGAGGGTGAGAACATGTAAAGTTGAAACAAAAGATGCATTTGTGTCATTTCTTAATTATTATGAAGTAACTGTATATGAGTTTTTTCAGTGGATTATCTTGCACAGATTAATTGTTCACCTTAAGACTAGCAATGTGTGCTAGCATAATTAATATTGTTAATTTTGATTTCATGCTGACTTAACTGTAGACATCTAGACAGGCTGGAGGTTAGCAATGTGATGCCTAAGGTTTCAGTGATGTGATCTGTGACATCAGACTGGAGTTGCGTTTCATCCGTCAATCAGTCAGTTTTTTTTCTCTCTCTTTGACCTCAAACGCCACCATTAACTGACAGGATATGTGGAGCTCTGTTGGCTCACGTCTCCTGTTTGTGTGTTTTATTTTAGGTTCCACAACTTCCTCTTCAACACTCCAAAATGAGGCTGAACTTGGGGATGATGATGTGTTCACAGTAAGAAGTTTTGTTTTAGAATGATTATTCAATGTATCATCACTGAATCATTCAGAGTCATGCTGTTCAGCACACAAAAAGACGAATCAAACAAACATTCTAGTGTACACAAAAATCAATAGAAAATTAGAGACATTTTCTTTTAATATTTATTTGTTTGTTTAACTTATATTTTATTATTAAATTTTTTTCCTTTTTTTAAATGGAAAACGCTTTGTAATGCTTTAAGAAAAATGTTTTGTAATGTTCATTGGAGAAAAAAGACTCAGCAATGTGAATGTGAAAAGTAAGGTGTATAGTTAGTCTGTGTAGTCAGCAAGATGAGCTACAGCCATGTCTGTATGTGAATGTTTGGATTATTGTCAGCTGTTGCAGGGGTTGGTGGGGCAAAAAGTTCTGGGAGTTGTAGTTTGTTCGGAATACCGGAAGTAATCTCCAGTGGAGAAAACACCGTTGGCGATCACAACAATAATATTGACTGTTCATTTTTTTAAGTTTCTTTTTTTTTTGTTAAATATTCCAGCCAAACTAAAATAAATACGACTCTTAATGACAAAAAAGTAATAGTAAATACTGTGCATTTAATTAAATTCAATTATACTAACAAATGTATTTTGTCCACATTAAAGCAATAAAGGCTCGTACACACTGGGACGCTTTTTGTTTGCGTTTATTGTCAGCGTTTTATGAGACGTTTTTCCAGATTCAAACCTAAACATCGTATATGTGTCCCACACTGCTAAAAACACTATAAGACATATATATTTCACTAAAAAGTGAAAATTGGTAGTTTTTGCGTTATTTTAAGCAAATTCGTACTTCCGGTTTAAAAATTTATTTTTGAAGCTGCGTCACGGCCATGAGATCATAGCGCGGCAGAAATGCGTTTGGTTGGAACATTTTTTACTCGAGAGCATTTCTCATCAATGATGAGATCCGGATTTGCTACTTGCTCCTTTAAAAAAGACGCAGCTCCAGTATGAGCTGATTGTCCTGTCTACAGATTCGGTAAGTGTGTGCGATCAGTGCCCTTTCTTTGTTCATTCAGATGGCAAAGTTATAGTTCGTATGGTCGGCTGTACTCTTTTAGTTTTTAAAGACAGACCTTAGTCAAAATGATTTCTGATTTACTTAGTTTACAGTACGTTGATATCACTACAATATTGAAAGATTCGCTGTAAATGCTGCTCTCTGTGTGTAAACACGTGAACACTGTAAGCAAACTTTTGCCGACCGTCGTGTTGAATTTTCGTTGTATTTTACAGAGAAATGCAGAGGCTTTTTTTCGCCAATACGATGTGCGGTATCGAACATTTCACCATTTCACCAACATTAAACACACTGTCTTTCTCCCCTGCGTGATGCGTGTGTGTTTGTATTTCCTCTGTCCTCAGCGCGTGCCCAAATGGCAACTCCCATTTTCATTCAAACCCTGCCCATTTTCCCACCCCTAATACTCCCACCCAATCAGAGCTAGACACACCCACTTTCCTGACTTTTTCCAAACCAGAGGTGTGAAAACATCCTGCTGAAACGGGGGGTTTCATTGATCTTTAAGGATACACGTCCACTGAAATGTGTTTTTTTTTTGTTACTCCAGAAATACAATTGCAACACATTGGCTCAGTGGTTAGCACTATCACCTCACAGCAAGAAGGTTGATGGTTCAAGTCCAGGCTGGGCCAGTTGGAATTTCTGTGTGGAGTTTGCATGTTCTCCCTGTGTTGTTGTGGGTTTCCTCTGGGTGCTCCAGTTTCCCCAAGTCCAAAGACATGCACTATAAATGAACTGAATGAACTAAATTGTTTATAGTATGTGTGTTTGAATGAGTGTGTATTGATGTACTGGGTTGCAGCTAGAAGGGCATCCGCTGTGTAAAATATATGTTGGATAAGTTAGCAGTTCATTCCATTGTGGCGACCCCTGTTAAATAAAGGGACTAAGCCAAAGGAAATGAATGATAACTGCAGTTTTGTATCAAATCTTGCAGTTGGATCAAGAAAAGCAAAGAGAGCTACATGAATCACGATGCATTTCTTCTGTTGTGTTCGGGATCTACTGTACCTATAAAGATCCTGGCAAGTGTTGTTTCACACTATACGTGTGCTCTGAAGGCATGTACATTTTTAAAGCAATATTTAGCAACTTCCTCCTTCAGCTTTCATGTCTGCAGCTTTCGTTCGTGTGTCCCAGAAAAGACAGAGTCCTTGTGATGTTTTTTCCCCGCCGAGGCCGCAGTGGAAGAGACGGGCCTTTGTTTTGTTTTGTTTTTTTGTTTTTTTTAAAGATGGTGGATGTGATAGCGGCGCAGGCAGGTTTCCTGCGGAGATTTCTGAGGAGGCTGTGCCGACGCTTGGCTTTTGCCCACTTACTGTCCTTTTGTCACAGTCACAGGAGAGCAGGAGCAGCGGGCCGGGTCAGGAGACGACTTCCTGCTCACCCCAGTAAAACTATCATTAGCAGCTGCTTCCTAGCTAACTGCCATCCTGATTTACTGCTGGCCCGGGTGAAGGAGGAGGGGGGGCGCAGGGGAAGCCTCATGGCTCCTCTTTCACTCGCTGTCTGTCTCACTTTTAGGCCAAAAGGGTAGACTGCTAAGCCAAGGACCCTGAGCTTGAAAGGAAACTTAATCCAATGCTTCTTTCCGTCCTGGAATTTATGCTCTTCTTGTGCTGTTGGGTGCGTCCCTGCTTTTGGAAAACACAACGAGATTTACTGCCCCAGGTCTTTTTTTAAAACCTACCTGTTTTTGCAGGACACACACACACACACACACACACATACACACACACACACACACACACACACACACACACACATTAAACATTTAAATAATTGTTTATTTAAAACAAGTGACCATAAAACGCTGTGTGTGTGTGTGTGTGTGTGTGTGTGTGTGTGTGTGTGTGTGTGTGTGTGTGTGTGTGTGTGTGTGTGTGTGTGTGTGTGTGTGTGTGTGTGTGTGTGTGTGTGTGTGTTTGATGAAGGTAATAAACTGATATACAGTTGAACCTCCTGTGAAATTTTAATTCTTTATTCAATTTGTTTAACGCAGAGCAGAACGCTTTTTTAAACACAATCATTTTAATAACTAGTTTTTAGTTTTTTTGATGACAGCACGTAATATTTTGCTAGTTATTTTGTGAGATATTCAAGTGCAATTTAAAGGCTAACTAGTTTAATTAGGTTAAATGTGCTGTATGTAAGTTTTTGACTCTTCTAAAGCCTTAATATACCATAATATGTTTGCTAAGTAAACATCCTTGTTTATCTGAAAAACAATGCTGAAGTCAGAAACTGTGCTTTGATAATGTGTGTTACGTGTTGGAATGTCTGTCTTTGTTTTGGTTGTTTCAACACACCCAATGCCACCGTAGCCAATTATATTTCAACAGCCTTGGTTGCCTTAAGTTTTTCTTTTTCATTCGTTCGTTCGTTCGTTCGTTCGTTCATTCATTCATTCATTTCAGAAAGGCTCTCAAAGCATGTGCTCGTGACCGAAATGTTCCGAAATTAATACAGGTTACATAAAGCAGGTTACATTATAACTCTGTCTCCTGACAACATGCCACATGGCAAGATTTGCAGTAATAAACAATTTGGCTGTTGCACCAGACGAAACATGGCAAAAATTTAAATACAGCCATTGAGATGCACAGAATAGTGCACTCACTGCACTCCAACGAAATGGTAAGGTTTACAATCTAATTTATACAATTGAAACTTTTTTAACATTATTAAATGTACATGCTGAACCACTGATATGTTGGTGATGAGTCTAAAGTTAAATTTTAAATGGTTTATTTTCAAGATCTGAGGTGAACTATCTGCTGCTGCTTTCAGTAGTATGGCAATAAACATCATGTGAAATGACATTCAAACTCACATTATTAGCATTTAACACTGAATAAAGCACATGAGGTGTACCTGAGCTGATCATCGTCATTTATCCTGTTGTTCACCTGTGAGAAATAGAAGCCGTTTCTAATATAACAAGTTGTGGTGTTGGGTAGAACAAAAACTCCTTATAATATCGAAATATCCCTTCTCTTGTGTGCCATCGCTTTTATTTAGGAAACGGCTTAAATAAGCCTTTAAGCTCGAGACTCGCCCCTGTTGGTCATTAATCTGGCAACCTGCGCTTGCGTTTGTTTAGATCCAGGAGTGCAAAACCTAGTTCAACCACTGGGTGTCAAACAATACTAAGTAATATATGATAGTATAGATTAGTGGTCCCCAACCTAACCCCAACGAAAAATGGCAAAAATTAAAATACAGCCATTGAGATGCACAGAATAGTGCACTCACTGCACTTCAACAAAATGGTAAGGTTTACAATCTATCTAACGCGATCAGGTTTATTATCAACAATTTAGTGTGCATGCGCTAGTTGTACTATCGCGGTCTGATTATGTTTCAATCAAGGTTTATATGCATCAAATACACAACATCTGTGCCAAACATTTCAACTGACGAACATATTAACAATAATACAACCGTATAGCCGAATTAAATGTATGCTTTGGAATATTACAGTAACCTAATGATACAGTTACCTAATGAGTATGATTATGTGAAACTCCATATAGATACAAATTGCAATGATTTCGGGTACTTACTTAGCGATGCACGCACACATAACGTTATATGCACAATGCTTAAATGCTCTGCTGATTTGGACTCTATAATACCTGTTTTATAGCTATAGCGATCGTTCTTCCCGCTCCGTGGTGGATTTTGGCATAGTCCATTTCATGTGAGATGGTGGGGGTAAGTGGAAGAAACCAAGTCGCGGGGAGGAATATTTTCTACAGAAATAATTTATGATTTCTTATGTGGCCCGGTACCATTTGTTCTACGGACCAGTACCAGTCCGCGGCCCGGTGGTTGGGGACCACTGGTATAGATGACAAAATTGGATAAATTTGAAATACAGTTGTGCGATTTGTCTCTTCATGTTACAATTTCTACTTGCAATTTCAGCTTGGCTTCTCGTTTAC